GCGGAAAAGTGTGAATTTGAGCGTGAGCAGTGGTGCTCACACGGTGCAGGCTGTTGGTGACTGATAAGGAGCACCGATGTGATTGTAACACACTGAGTCGGCAGAGTCAGCACACATTGTTCTTCGTTAGCAAAGATCGTTAACTGGAAAAATAGCATTAGAGAGGCATTGCCATTCATGCTTTCATCAGTATTCCCCATCCACGTCTTTTCGAATCCAGACAACTGCATAATTCCAAAAGATAAAAGCTTGAAATGGCTGAAAGCCACTCTTCTCCCCCACCCCTCACTTTTGACGAATGCTTTCCTCCATGAAAAAGCATTTGTTGTCTGCAATAACATCGTGGCAGGCATTAATTATCCCCTTTAAGTCGGCTTTTCCTTTTGTAGAAAAACTCAAAATGCTTCTGACAGGAGTCGAAAAGACAGAGCTATACATTTAGAAGTCCTTTTTTCTTCCTCGGATAAATAAGCTGAAAGTTCAGATGGGCTCGCCGTGGAAGACAGGAAATCACTGTCCTGCCTCCTTGGGCCAAAATGACACACAAAGTGAATTCACTCTTCTAATATGTCGGAACTTGTTGAAACACAGCAGCAGTAAATACTGTCAGCCATGCAGACCCCCCAAAAAGGGATCGGTTATATTTATGTCACCTTCTTCTGGCTAAAGTTCACGGTACCTCGGCACAGTTTTTGTGGTAAAAAGCCCTGTGAATGATTGCACGATCACTCCAAACTGTCATCGGGGATGTAATGGATATTTAAACAGACCGATTGGGTCTATATGGAAAAACGAAGCGATGGTTAAATCAAATCACGTTTTTTTTTTCCCCCCTGTCAGTCGTTTGAACGGCATTGCCAAAGCCCGCTCTGCCGTGGAGGCGGCAGGACTGTGCCAACAAGCTGTTCATCTGCCTGTTTGAGGGACGAATGGGCGAAGGGAGAAAAGAAGGGGAGGCAGAGGGAGAAAGTTTGGTATGCAAAAATGGAGACGCCGTGACGGAGCCATGAATTCAAATTGCAACACCGAGTCAGAGACTGTGAGGGCGCACTGCAATGTTAATATACACTAATGAATCCGAGACCTTCTTTGACATCATGGTTCTGGTTCAATGCCAGAGAGAACTGTAACATCACTGGAGGGGCCCTTTCGTAGACGTATCTGTGCTCTCTTTGCTCTTCCGCACATTAATTAAAAATCTAAATCTAACTCTTTTCATTCATCATTCACCATCAGGAGGTCTGCACATAAATAAACGCACTGCCTGAATGCTGCTGTGCTAAAACACATGAAACAATACACATTACTCGCTGTATTTACGCCAGTATACACCTGATTCCACAGTAGAAGTTCATGTTTTGTCGCTTTCATTAGAAATAGCCACAACTCTAATGTTGTGTTGGGCAGCCCTCTCTTTCTGGTTTTTAACTCCAAGATTTATTTATTTTCAAACCTGTTGAAAGTGTCTCCAGGTGATTTCAAAAATAAACTGAACATTTTACTGAAGGAGCTTTAGCTTTGTTTTATGTGTCTGTGGTGAGGAAACGGCTCCCCTCAGTAAGCAAAGCCCTCTCTTAACACCTCGGCATTTCTTTTTCTGAATGTTAATGGCTGCCTGGATGTTAATTAAAGCTTTATCTCAGCATGCTTTAAATTATCGACCAATTCACACGGGGTGCCGCGGAGCACCGTCGACTAAACCGAAACAGATGTGAATATTTCCCTGGTTGACTTCGTCAGACGTGGTTCGCTGTTGTGCCTGCTGTGCTCACTTAAACTCATCTCATTGTTAAAGTACTTTTTGTCCGTGGAACCTAAAATGATTGAATCACACTGTGACCCTCCGCTGTCATCATTAGCTGATGTCCGTCCGTCTTCATTTATTTTAACCATCAGTTACAACTTCCATTCCATGCTCGGTAAGATGGCGCTTTGACATTGGGCATCTGGCTGGTGTGTGGCAGGAAAAAAAAAGACCTCTGTAAGATCTCCTACACTCTGATATAGGAAGACATAACTAACGACCCTCCTCCTCCTCCTACATGTCTGCTCTTTAGCTGCAAGCCGATCCCGAGGAGACGGGATAATGAGGACTCAGTTCGTTCTGTTGCTTCTTCCTCGGACTATTTGAGTTGTCAAACAAATTACAGATTTGTTATTTGAAGCCGGCTGCTTTGATTTATTACTACATTTGCAGTAACATTGACTGCTTCACTTTTATACATCTGCATCAAGGGGAAATAGAGCTATAAATTGTTTGGTCTAGAGTGAAAATCTAAATTTCTCCAAAGTCGACTTATTTAAAAGTTCAACAGTCACAACCCCACTTTACCGTCACAGGACAAAGACATAACAGCCAACGACACCAATGAATGTCCCATTGAATGCAACTATATTTACAATCAATCAACATTATTTGCGGTGTGCTTACATATTCAGATGGCACAGTCAGAATAGATTAGCAATGAGTTCACATGTGCGTCCACAGAATAAAGTACGAAACGCCTCTGCAATCGTCTGTCACACATGATGCTGAGTCTGACACACTGACCTCAGCATGAGCCTTTCATATGAGCAGGACGAGTGAAGACACAGAGATCAAGACCCTTTTTGGTGCATGCATCTTTTACACGCAACTGAAAGATTAATAATGCTTTTAACATGCTTCCCTTGCAGTCGAGCTAGATAGAGAGGGAGCATTTAAGGTTACACAAAACCTGCTTGGGGTGGTTTCAATGCTTTAGGCTGCAGGGGAACAGAGCGTCCGGATGCTCAGCCTGGACAAATAAACTAACTTCAATGTACTCTCTGGACTAATTACAGCAACAGAGGCCTCACTGGTCACGGTATTTTAAATCCAAATTTCATACCCGCTGGGATGGCAGGTTTTACTAAAGCGGACACATCTGTAGCTAATTTTTCTGAATGTGTATTTCAAAATACATTGTTTTTTATTAACACCCTTTATTCCGACAAACTCTCCCGAAAACTAATGGAGAAAAAAGGTAAGAAACCTCAAGAAGAGAAGGGCTCTGTCTTCCGGGAAACATTTATTAGATGTTTAGAGAATAGACCAATCGAGTTGTTAGATTAGCAACATAATAGATGGATTGCAAAGATACAAAAACACATAATAGTTAATAAAATAGTTTGCTACATTGGTTTAGAAGTACTTTCAGTAAAGGATTTATTTTCCTGAGTGTAACTGTTCATTAATGCTCATTAACATGTTTTATATATAGGTTTTGAATCAGGCACACACTCGTTTGTTTCATGCATTCATTGTTGGATCTAACGTTTTTATAGTGACAATAAGACAAATCAATTCTTTCCTGCCCACCCGTAGAATGTCTGTAAAGACACACTCTGACTAAAAACAACACCTGCTGATTGCTTATCTTGAATGCATTACATTCACATTCATCCATAAATGGATGAACGTCTTATGGACCCTCCCCCACATGCAATGAACGCAGCACAACGCGCTCACAACTCATCACAGGTCTATGAATAACATTTCACTCCAATAATTCACAGAAGGAACCCGAGACATTTCCCCTTGCTGTGGGAGTGGATAGCTGTTTATTTGGGAGTGGATAGCTGTGAGCACGTGCTCCCGTGGTCAGATGGATTCGCTCTTTTGTTTGTGTGGTGCAGACGGGGACGGCATCAACCTGCTCCACCTCAAACTGGGAGCAGTAATCTGCTTCTCCTTGAACACGTCTGGCCTCCACCTGTCTTCTCTGCAATGAATACATAAAAAATGGACTTTTTGGGCTGGACAAGAGCTATTAGGAAACCACCACTGCAAGTCTCAACAGGATCTGGAACATGGCCTCTCAATGCTCTGATAACAGCCAAAATGTACCATAGCCGGGTCATTTGGGGGATTTGTCTTCCATTACCCCGGCATTTAGAAAGACAGAGCTTAAAGTCACAATCTAAGATGGTTATCTGCTTGGCCGTACACTGCTGCAAGGGCCACAGCTGTCACATGGGGGAGATCCGGAGGAGTCCAAGCAGAGGGACTCGGCCAGACATGGATCACAACCTAGAATCTATTAAATTCTGTCAAATGTCAATAAGCTTTTCTAAAGACTGTTGCATTTTGTTATCGATCCACGGTTAGGTTTACCCCCTCCAAAGGCAAAAAAGGTAAACAGCAAGACGCCTGTAGATAAGCAATTCGGTTTGAAGTGGCTCTGAACCACAGGCCTTGAAATTGAAGTCCCGTATCGCCTGGAGCGCGTGTCCACATGGGGAGGGATCCAGGTCCTTTCTGTCAGCGTCAGACGAGTTGGCGCCCAAGAGCAGCTCAAGAACCGCTCCCGAAGAGCACTCCAGCTGCCCGAGAGTCACTGTGCCGCGTATCAGCTCAGTATCTGAACTCCTCTTTACCACTGAGTCATACGCACCAAGTGCTGCTTCTGCTCTGCCTACACTGCTACAGTTATAGGAGATAACAGGACTTAACAGATAACAGAATAGCCACAACAGATTATCTGAATTCATGCTTTTGACTCGTCTCAATCAATGCCGAGCGTCCCTCTGGATTGAATGTGGAGCAGGAAACATGCAGAGCATTGGTACAAACCGCACAATCACGACAAACATTTGGGGAGCATGTGAGTCACACACATGAAACATAATTTCCTACATGGTTTTTCATCCTTGTACCAGCAGCTAATGAGCCAGATCCAGCAGACCTGTCTACTGGGGCATGATGGCGTGGTGCAGTTCAGATGTGATGGTTTCCCTGATCCTTCACAGCGATCCGTATTATGTGCACTTTGCAACCTGACACACAGTACTGAGGGGCACATAATGTAATAGACAGAAGCGTGTTACACTTCTGGACCAGTAATATGCTGGAGACGCATTGCATGGCTGGTGGGGAAGTGGGTCAAAACTATTTAAACAGCACTCCTAACACAATATTATTATTTTGGTCATTGTAATGTGAGCTACAAATTGTTTTTCTGAAGATCAACAACACTCACCCAAAATCCCGACAACAAAAAGTTTCAGTACTGTGGACTCATTTGTATCCATCACGGTGCGAGAATTCAGCCAGGCTTCGATCGAAAGCTCAACTGCAGCTCCGTGAAAATGTGCGTTTGAAGCGAACCATTATTAAAATCATCCCAAATGTGCAAGTCCGAGCTCCGGCATGCTCTGAGGAGTCCAGATGAATAGAGGTGTGGGAATTGGAGCGCGCGATAAGCAGCACCAAACCCCCCCTCCACCCCCCAAACTGATCCAAGAGCACGATTCCTGACTGTCCTCCTCTGCAAATCAGGAGTCAGAGCTCAGGACCACTTACACCGTCCTGCATCCTCTGTGGGAGGAGAGCGAGGAGGAGGAGGAGACGGAGGAGGGGGAGGAGGAAGAGGAGAAGGAGGAGGAGAGGGTTCCTCCTAAGCATTGCTGGATTATGTTTACTGAGTGCGCACAGAAAACCTTTTTATACTCGGCATGAATTAGACAAATGAATGTGACATAGGAAAGTGTGAGAGGACCCAATGTGCAACCTGTGAAGAAGAAAAGGCAGTAGCCTTTTTTTATTTATTACACAACTAAAATGAATAAACAGTCTGTTACAAAGGGGAAGATATCAATTTTGTACTTTATTTTTTTAATTTTAAATTGAACTGTACCGTTAACATCACTGTTATATAAGTATGATGTATGATCACCTATAGTCAAATGAATCTGTCGATGAATTGCTGTGTGTTGTTTTTTTTCTTTCTATGAGACAACACTGACCTCGTCTGGTGTAGTTTTAAATCGCAACCCAACCAGACATCAGAAAAACCCCGTCTGCCCAGAGTTAGCATAGAAATCCCAAAAGCCTTCAATAACATTAATGCAGCAGCTCAGATTGATTTAATAATCATTAAATTAAAAACGGCTATCGACCTTAACTGTATCAATTCATCTCTTTAGTGTTTAGCCCGAAAAAACAAATATATTAAAGGATATGTTCACTATTTTTTACGCTTTCAAATGATGTTCAGGTGCCCATGTGATCATGGAAGGAGTTCCTGGTTCCTGCTCACACTGGACATAAGGAGATCCTTTCCTAACATGCCTCTAATGTAAGTGGTGGGAGACGCAATGCACAGTCCTCATTATGCACAGAAATGTTCCCCAAAGTGGATCTGCATTCCGTCTTTGCGTCACTGTCCCTGCACTGTGTTCACGGAAACATCTGTCCCCAAAAAATATTTAACTTTGGAAGACGGTCTCTGCATCTCATGCAGAGCTGCCAACTTTTCAAAAAACCTTGGAGTGAGATTTTGTCGGGGGTGACCAAAATTTTGCTGCGCACGCAGCCACACACGTTGGTGGCTCAAATATCAGGAAATTGGAATTCATTTGGCGTAGTACCCATGTTGTACCCTGCATTCTGGTGGTTTGTGGGGCCCAAAGTCGTTGATAGGGGCGGCCTACTGGAGATGGACAACATTGGTTACATTCTGTGAAGCAAAGACATAGCTGATGGTCCACCCCAAGGACATTTTGGTTTAAGTAGATGTTATTTCATGCATTCTCGTGGATTTTTGGGTGGTATGCCTGAACTTATTCTGATTTATGTTCATCTGCTCATGACTTGTTGGGCCTTCTAGACTTGAGCTGAACATTCAACCAGAAAACTATTGCTGTGCCTCAATGACTGTCTATGTACCACAAAATAGCCTAATTAATAGACCTGTGTTTAAGATTTGACCAATTTAGGTTGATTGACATTTTGATTACAATGGTATTCAACTAATTCTTAACTGAAACCTAACCTATATTGTTAATAATTGTATTCTTAAGAGCACTAAATGATTTATGTTCAGCAAAAAATGACACAAGTTTAGTTAGGGAAAAATATTTTTCATTATCAAACAAAAAAGTGCAACAAATAAAGTGCTTAAAGTGCTTAAACAGTAGCCTTTCAAAGCAAAACAATGGATACACATAATATAAATACACATAAATAAAATAACAAAAAATGAGGTATTAAGAAGGAGATCAGAAGCTGGTTAGTAATTTGTGTTTTGAGCATGCAGTATACCAAGAGGTTAACAAGGTGCTCTCCTGCTGCTTGTTATGACAGCTGAGTTTACATTCACCACTCAAAATCACACGCACAAACACAACAAATAATTTCTTTCAAGATTTAAAGTTTAAGAGAGTGAGTACTTAATTGAACCACATGTCATTAACATACCTTAGTCTTTGCTCCTCCTGAGTTTCTCCCGCGGTTGTGTCTGTTTGAAAATCTTCTTCTGTTGCTAACTTCGGGACTCTTTGGGGTAAATAGGATGTCTATGCAGCGAATGGGTTTACAGATGCGCTCCTTAGCGCCATCTATTGTCGGGGAGTTTGAAAAGGAACGAACGCGCTTCGGCCCAAAATCAGATTTTTTTTTTTGCCGTGAGAAATTGGTTGTGTGGCGTGAGTGCGTGTGAAAACATGCAAAAGCGTGTGTCACACGGCGAAACCGTGAGAGTTGGTAGGCCTGTCTCATGTCATTGGTTAGCAGAACGTTTAGACTCCATCCAAATCTTAAATGTTCCTCCATCTGAATGCCATGTTTAGTTATTTGATGGTCAGAGCTCGAAAACACATTTGGTATTAACTTTTATTTGAACACTACTTCCTCCTCCTCCACTTTATGCAAACAGAAGCAAAAGTCCAAGTCCCAACAGGAAGAGGACGCTGCTCCTCGTCTCCATGCACAAACTGCATGAGGCCAAAGGTGCAGAGCGCTTGTGGCAGGAGGTGGCGGCTGTGGGAGTGCACGACTCATGATGGCGTTGAGGTCTGAGGTCTTACTTGAATCTTGAAAGCACCCTGGGCCATGTTTTATTTTATTATTGAGTTTGTGACTGCACGCCGTTACGACTCGAGTCCTGTTATGATTAGTGATATGCATGTGCATGTGCATATTTTTGATTGTTTGTGTTTACGGTTTTGCACAACAAAAACATACAAAAAAAAGAATACTCCTAAATGTATGTAATGTAAAATTATAGTATGGGGAAATAAGGTACTTGTGGCCAACAGCTCATGAAACGCTTTGGGCATTTGTAATGTGTTCCTTGAATCAGCCACAGTGTGCAGATAAAGGGGACGAGCGAGGGGGGCTTTTCAGGAGCAATCACACGGGCGCACTTGTTCCGCCTCACCTGACAACGAGGAGGTGTCGTTGACCTTTCACCCCTGCAGTGACACGCTCGCGGCAAACCGCCTCACCGCGGGTCATTTGTAGCTGAATGCCACACGGCGGTTTCTTTCTTTTTTTCTTCTCTCCTGCGCGGCGCATCTTCTCGCCCGCCCGAATAGCGAAGGCGTAACGTAACCGGACCGGTTGAAGTAGGATGTCAACATGTGACGCAGGAGAGTCGGAGCTCGTCGGTGGAGGCGGAGAGACTTCAGCGACGCCTCCGGACAGCAGCGCGCGGCGAGCAGCGCGAGCGCCGCGGACGACGCCTGCCAGGTCGGTGAAAACGTCTTTAAAACGATTGTAGTTTTTAGTTTAGTTCTTTTGCAAAGTGGTGTATGTCGCTGTTCTCCTTTTAGGTCACTGTGTGCTTTCTGGAGAGGTTTTTTTTTGACGCGAGTTGTTCTCTCGAAGGGGGGAGAACCCCGCGCGCCGTACTGCGCGCGGATATTTGCGTGTTTGAGTTTCCTCGCGCGTGTGCGCGAGGACGTGCGTCTCCCTCCGTGGCAAGAAAAACGTCTCGCTATTTATGAGCAAGTTTGAGAATATTCGGCGTCGAGCTTTTGCGTTCATTTGGCGTTTTACACTCGCTTCACCGCGGAGGGAACCGGGGGAAACTTAGTGAGAGCGAAGAACTAGCACTAAAATATGTTTAAATGTTATTTTGGGGTCAATGCAATTTTCCTGACGATGTAAAGAAACCCCTAACTTTTCCTGATTGGGCTTGCTTTTCGCAATTTGACAGATTTTTGAATAATGTCCGTGTCAAAGTGGTGTTTACATGTCACATCTGGACCCTTAACTTTCAGAACAAATATGGAAGACAGATTCTCAACGTAGGTTTTGCCACCATGTAGGTCCTACCGGGCACAAATAACGCCAAACACGCACACCCGAGCCTCCATCGGTATGCATTTTCTCCCCACCTAACCGACACTGTAAATCCTAATATGCCTCCTCCACCCAGCACCGTCAAATCGATGCATTTCAGTTCCTTTTCAGTGGCCCTGCAGGCGAGCTCACGCATGCACCTCTGCGCCAGCAGTTCAAGTTCCTGCCATGGATCCACACAATGCAGGTGCCTGTGCACGTCCGGAGCCCTGCCTCTACTTTATTATCTGCACACCGCTCCTAATACCCTCCATCGCCACCTCCTGCATTCATAGGCTCAGTAGGTCTACCGATCCGCTGGAAACAGACGGTGAAGGTGTGACGGCAGAGACAGAACGAGTCCCTAATGTGCGGTCGCCGCTCACTTCGTCGCTGCATGGAGTCATTAAGTTGAATCATAAGTTGTTGAGGGTGTAAATGATTTGCAGTGGCTGGAACATTACATGTTTTTGTCAGTGTTGAGCACACACCCACACTGAAGTTCAGGCTGCTTCCATTATGTAAGTGTTGGCTGCCAGATATGGGCACACACCCACAGCGCGGCTGACACCGACTGAAGAATACACCAACATACTTGCATGAGACACACTGTGCATAATGGAGCAGCCAAAAGAGCCGTACAAAGAGAACAATCGGGCATGAAGTCGCCAACAAACCGTTCTCACAGTACAAATGGCACGCACGCTGCCTGGCTGCAGTTTGTGTCACAGTGTGAGACGTCTTTTAAGCTTTTAGCTTTTACGTTCGTGTTATGGAATTAATGAAATCCTCCACAAAATCATATTGTTCCCTCACCACGGCACGTTTAGGAAAACTAGACCTCTAAAAGTAGGTCTGCAACCAACAAAATATTTAATATTTCTGTCAATCTGTCAATCATTTCTCTCCAGTAACCAAGCCGTGTCGAATACTGTAAAATGGGGGGAAAATGGCCATTAAAATGTTCTAAAGGCACTTTCAAATTGATTGATTCGCCACAATAGACATATGTGCAATGATATTGAACAGAACATTTGTCTTTTTTTCTTGGAATTTTTAATAAGCCTTTGTCTCTGTTTTTTTAATAATGGATTAATAACTAATGAGAATAGGCCTTACATGCAGACTTAAAGATGAAAAGAAATATGTTGGTTTAGAAGGAAAATCCCCACCCAACTAGAATTCCACATTGAGTTGTGCTGACCTGTAGCATTGTGCTCACACTAACCGATGACCGCACAACAAGCCACTTTTAACATCAGCTGTTACAGTAAATACTGTGCAGACAGACAAGCGTGATAGTAATGCTGCAAATGATAATTGTAACATTCACATTTCCAACATTTGTTGGACTGCGATTGTTTTCTAAATCACTGGCTTTGTCTTTTGTTTTTTTCCTGCGACTCCAGGAAATGGTCCATTTTTCCCCGAGTCTTAAGTTGACATTTAAATAGCACTTTCTGGATTAATATTTATTTTGTGTATCGTCACCTGGAGCCAAAAACTCTCAAAAAAGGTTGATTAATTAATCAGGAAAAAAAGCTTCCCAAAACATATCATTTTGCTGCTTTTGTACCTCAACTAAAGGAAAACATTTGGTAGGTGAAAAAAAGCAAATTGAGGTTGACAAACCAACAAAAGTGAGAGGGAAACATTCCTCATCAAAACTTTCGGCTTCAGCTATAAAAACATGTTTACCTACAGGTTTACAAGCACTGATCTACTTGTGATTCGATGTTCTTCTGCTGCCTCAGGCAGCGGTAGGATCAAAAACACGCCGTACCATCCACAGCGGCGCTATGTTGGCCTTGGCACTGAAGTAGTGGTTGAAGAGCTCGGAGCCCTCCCTCCATTTCTTACTCCATGCTTCTCTCTCATGCCCCGTCACGTCAGGCTTTTAGAAAGTTTAAGCCTTGATGATGCTCTGCAGGTTTCCCCTGAAGGCAAGGTGGATAGCGAGAGGCTCCTTGTTATTAAGACAACATTGAGAAACAAGACCAAATGCTTCACTCAAAGCAACACAGGCGCCGCGCAATCTGAATGAAAGGGATCCCGTGAGGAAGGTCCTAGTGACACGTGCACTTCTTCAGATACCCGCCTTGTTCTGGTGTCGTGGTGCTCAGCAGCTGGCGCGGTGGCGGCGGGTCGCCGTTGGGTTGCAGCATTAAATGTGCATGTGCCTGTTTGAGTGGGAGTGCTGGCTCTGGTCGTAAGCGAAAGCGCTCGTATAACTGCTGCTGATCAGTCCAGCCGCGCACAACTGATGAGCTGAGGGAACAAAACAGTTGGAACTTTATTTAAATTGTCTAACAGCTTACACTCGGAAAAAAACCCTACTTTTGGGATTTTTTTTGTAGACCAAAATTAGTAATTATTTAAACGATTTGGCATAATAGAATGAGTAGTTTGAGCTATAATTATGGAAGCCGCTAATTTAAAAGAAATGAAATGTGTTAAATGTAAACTTGTTACTAACTGCTGTTGCATAACTCTTAGCTGTACCGTGTCGGGCTGTAGAGCTGAAACCAGCACATTCTTTTGTATTCCTCCACAAGTGTAAAATGTAATCGCTTCGGCCATCGTTAGAAGGAAGTCCCTCACCCTTTGTTTTTTGTTTTCTTTCAGAGAACAGCAGTATGAAAACATTGGTGAGAGGTTCAAGCAGGAAAATCATGATGATGAAACCCCGACTGGAAAACTGTGTCAGCCATCAACCATCGGACAGGAAGAAACACACCAAGGTGACATGCACGCACACAAAACATACAGCGTGTTCTGTTCTGTTAAATCTTTAAATTTACAGCAGTGACCAAAACATGATCCCTTGTTCTGAATCTTTTGCTTTGCAGGACTTGTATTAAGTTCAGACAGACTAGGAAAGGAAGAAGCTGCGCACCAGAAGCCCAACAGATCCAGAATCACCTCCTGCCTCTTCTTCAGACTCTCCAGAAATCTGGGCCTTGATGAGCCCAATTTAACAATTAAGACTTTCGACCCCTGCTTGCACAGGTAGGCAAGGAAAGGAATAGATTTATATCCAGTGCCAAGTATCAACAGAATGCAGTGGTGATTTGTCATTTGCGTCATGTATTTATTTGGCCACTTGCCATCTTAAATGAGTCTATCCCCTAAACCGTCCCAACAGCAGGGTGCTGCTATTGAGCCGCACAGGCCAACGTCTGTGCTCAGAGTCTCTGAAATCACAAGTCCTCTCTAACATTTAGTCAAACAGTAACTCAACCCTTACGTGCCCGCGCAAGAATGCGACACACCATCTTGGAAGGGTTTGTGTAAACAAGGAGGTGGACCCGATTGTGTGACCTCCGCGTGACGTCTGAGGACTTGGTCCGGCGGGCTGCGTATTATTTTCTTTGTTTGTCCGTCCATGACTGAGCAGCATTCGCCTATTAGATAGAGAGAATGGAGACTTCAAGCTACGTGCACTGGTATCCGGTACAGGAAGATTAAACGCACTTCTCTTTCAGGAAGAAGGAAGCCTGAATCTACCTTCCACCCCCCGTATCATTAATCATCCACCAGCAAGTGTTTTTTTTTCATTTCTTACAATTGGAGGTCACTTTAGGTTTGGACTTCTCTCCTGAGGGTTACATATTTCAACCTTGTTTTCAGATGTATCTGATTTGACTTAATTGCTTTTGACTTTGTGCATAAGAAGGAAGGTTTGTATGTGCGTGTGCTGCACACTTTCCCTTGAGCATATTTGCATGCCTCTATGTGATGCAGTGTGTGCAAGAGATTACAAAAGTGGTATCAATGCAGGTTTTTATTGGTCCATATATATATATACATATATATATATACATATATATATATATATATGTGTATGTGCGCGTGCACAGTATGCCCATGTCTGATCCAAGCGCTAAGACATTTATCAGAAAAATACCTTGCAAGCGCTCTAGTTAACAATTGAGGTGTGACTTCAGTGCTCAGGTTGTGAGAAAAAACGTTTAGTAAACTGGACCGAGAGGAATGCGGACCTTCCTGTTGATCAGCGTTGCTGAGAAACATTCACTCTCTCAAATGTTTCTCATAGAAACAGTAGAGAACGCAGGATGACTGGGTGTGTTATCTTTAACTGTCAAGTATACAAGTGTATTTTCACACGTTGACTATCCGTTCCATAATGGGTTCAGCCGGCTGGTCTGACTGCTAGTCAAGACTTTCTGTGTGAAACTCAACAATCAGGATTCCCCAACATCCCCAATCTCAATATGAAATATTGAACAATGCACAAGATCTAAATATGTGTGCGTGTAATATATATGTACATACATAACAGTGCTTAACTTACAGGACAAATGAGAGAAAAACCTGCGTCCGCATGTTGATGTTTAATGATTGATACATTTGTATTTATTAATACCTTCGTTTTTGATAGGAATAACACATCCAGTAATACATATGATACAGCATGATCCTGTAAGATGACGTTTAATACCACAGGCATTTTATATATTTCCAGGCGTTTTTCAACACAAATTCAAACCATTCACCCAGTTATTTTATGGAGAATATTATTTTTACTTTTCATGAATTTAAAGCGGCACAGTTTTGTCGTAAGTAAGACATTTGAAGCCCTGCCAGAACAGGCCGATGGTAGATTAATTTGTATACAATAAAAAAGTGATTTGATTGTACCCGTGCTATTTTAGCTGACAATTTACTGTGCTAATAATTGGTCAGTTAGTTGATGTTTGCACTGCAATTCAAGGACCACACATGGATTTATCGACATGTAGGAGCTTTTATGATGGCTACTGTAAGAATCACCCAGATCCATTCATAGATCAGTGCAGACTGCCTTTAACCAGGGTTTAATTTGAAAATTATTATTCATGTTTTAAGAATGCATTCACTGTTGCAGCACTTTTGCATCAAATATTTAGCACTAATTGCTCTTTTTTTTTGAGACCAACTTCCGAAAAACTTCTCCCTTGTCTGCATTCCATTGTTGCTTGTTTCCCTTGTGCTGAACTGACAATGAGATTAACTATAAATACCAAGTCGGTGTCTAATAATATTCTTTTATTCTATCATAAAGAAATACACCTGGCTGCCTATCAGAATTGAGTAATCCCGTCCATGATAAAACTATTTAATAACAAAAGATCCACAGCAAACCTATTCATCACACCATAGAATAAATTTATAGTCATTTACAGTTTCAGCATAATGTTCATCTGTAGTTAAGTGAACTGTGGAATCCTGATCTTGTATGAATAATATTTTTGTTTGTCTTCCCTCTCTTATGCCAGTTCAACTGAAACACAGCAGGTTGAGACTGAGAATAGCAGCTTCCAGGTAAGAATTCCCCAATCAATACCTACGGTACCTGCCACACAAAGTGAAAAGCCATCGGCTTTTGAAGAAGAAAAATGACACAAAGCAATTATCCGTGTTAACATTACAACATCATTTAATACAAATGCTCAAAAACATCATAACGATTATCGTTATTTTAGCGTAAGAAGGGACAGGGTGTGTGTTCTTTTGTGTGTTAATCCTTGTAAATCTCCTGTCTTATAGAGTAACCTGTTTGTCAAGGCCCTAAGCTCTTAAATAGCCACACCATGGGAACATGAGCTTCAGCAAAGCTCACGTCTCTGCCATCGCACAGTTTACACTTCAAACAGCAGGCCACTGTCGCATACTTACTGTAAATTCCAGAAAGTGTTTTAGCATGTAAGTAAGTTGCATTTCCTATAAGAATTACTTTAACGATGGCGCTATAGATGATGTGTGGCAGCAATACAAACATCTAGTGAAAGATTGTGTGTGGTCATATAAATTGCTCCCCAAAATGTATTCTAAAACATTGAAATGCAGAGCACATTCCTGTATATTCCTATATATGGTCACTTCTAATTATTTTTCTCTCGACAGGTTAATGGACAAACCTTCCCACCACACATCTTTATAAAGAAAGCCAGTGAGTCAACATTATCTGAAAGAATACCATTTCCATCCGAGAAGAAAGAAGAGTCTCTCCCGGTTGTTTGCTATGAATCGGAGACTGGAAAAGGCTTGAGTAAAACTCATAGTATCTCAAATGGGGAATTGGATTCATATCACTGTGATGGCTTGCACATGTTTCCATGTGGACCACAACCGACAAGTGATACAAGATCAGTTGAGTTAGGAGGAGATATAAAGGACCATACAAGGCTTGAGAAACCTACTGATCTTGTGGTACTGTCCAACCTGAATAGGACCATGTTGTCTTCCACTGTGGTAACTGTCCTGGCACCACACTGGAATGGCCGACCAAGACGAACCAAAAGACCTGAGGTAACGGGCAATTGGGAAGCCCAGGGGGGTTTACACGATGTGACAAACACTGCGGCAAACCGCTCCCAGGGGCGCTTTCATGAGTCTCTAGATAGGTCATCGGCAGATGGATCGCAAGCCCAATCAAGGGGGTCTTTTCTGGGGACCAGGAGGAATACGGTGGGCTGGTCAACAAAGAGTGGACCTGAAAGCTTAGACTATGAATCTAAGAGGAAATTTAATCATACTGTGTCTTTGGATGTCAACTCTGGAAGGATGAACAGTAGACAAATGTATGCAGGTGCTGTAAGTCCTGTTCACACAGCTGCAACCCCTGTGTCTCCCCTCTCCTTCGAAACATACGAACAAAGGACGAACTCTGGGTCATCAAGGAGGATTGTCCCCAAGCTCGAAACCGACAACCAGCAGAATGCTTCTCTCTTTAAGAAGATGCAATTCAAATAGCAGGATCAATAATGCTGCCTCCCCCACCCCTGAGATGAATCCTTCGCCACGTCATCAAGATGGAAAATTATTCACAACACACCTCTCTCAAACTTTCCTGAATAATAACGGGCAGGAGAGGTCAAAGCCTCTCCTCTCTCCATCGGGGAATTCTAATAGGACAACTGAAACCGGGCCAATCATTTCCCCATCATCCTCCAACCACAGAGAAAGGAACACATTTGGAACTCGCTTCTTTTCGACTTCACCCACGAGCAAAAACACAGATGACACACCCTTTTCCCAACAAGCTGAAACAATGACTAGTAGGACCCAGGCCAGTCTTTCATGTTTCCAACACCCAACACCGATGCGAGAGCCAACAGAGAACTGCAGGTGTTCAGACAAAAGTACAAATGTATTCTCTGAGAGCTCTGCCTATTCACCAAAACATTCCCCATTTGACCGGTCTTCCCTCCTAAATACCCATTCCCTCCCCAGAAGGACCAACCTGACAGCCACCTCCTGGTGGAAACAAGTCGCCCCGGAATGTAATTCCAATCAAACTGTCAATGATACAACAAACATCAAAGAAAAGTTAAACACACCCTCTGTTCCACCCTACAATGATAATCGAGACCTAGCCTCTGCGTGTCCAACTGACAACAAAAGATGTGTTAGTCAAATCCACAATAACCGAGACAACAATAACACAACAGAGTCAGTCGGCCGAGGTAACATGAACCGTATTATGACAAAACAGGGCGGAACTGACAACATCAAACCAAGAATAGGTGAGGATTCACCTGGACGTGGGTCAGACAGGATTGTCAAACAGCAATATAGCTCCAATCTGAACAACAGAGACGCACAAAAGCCTCACAGTTTGCCGGATGTTTTTCTCAGTTCTATAATTAGCAAAGCTACAAAGCAAACAACGCTGAATCATCCTCCTAAAGATCTCAGCAGCCATGACTCAAATACTACCCCATTTACAGCAAACAAAACTTTGCTAAATCCCAAGAGCTCAAATACACCCACCAAGAGCAGCAGCAGCTACACTCAATGCGCATCCAAAACCAACAGCTCCCCCGCATCTTCACACAAACATGACTCTCAAAAATTTGGCAAACCACCTCTTTCTCTTGTTACCACCAACTCTTCCTGTATTCAGGCGCCTACTTCTCTCTCTGGTCTTTCCCAATGCCCATACACTAAACCTACTTCCTACATCCACTCTCATCCAGTTTCTTCACAAACCACTATTGATGCTTCACCATACACTGCCTCTCCTTCCCAAATTCCCCTTATCACCAAGATAACTCATAACGCACCTCTTCGCTATGAAAGAAGCATTGCTTCCGTTCATAAGCCTTTCCACCCTAAAACCGTATCGAGTCCAACAGTTGGTGCTTACTCTAAGACCAACTACAGTACAGCATCCACTGCTTCTCCCAGCTATTCGTTTGCCTCTGGCAGCCGTCATGTAGCAATAACTGCTCCTAGAACATCCCTCCTTACTTCTTCTTCATCTCCTGGCATTATGTCTTCTCCCTCCTCACCCTTAACCCCACCTGCCACGCTTAACAATATTACCTCCAACGATTCAGCCCCTTCCAGTCTCAAGGAGGCAAGGACATTCTCAAACAGCCCAGAAAACGACCCAGTGAAAAAGCACCGCATAGAGGGAAAGCGAGTGAGACGAGTCACATGGGAGGACTCTGTGGATCTGAAGCATTCTGAACCTGTGGCAGTCGACGAAGCCGAGCCGGTTCACGTACCATTGAGCTCAAGCTCCCCGGAAAGCAGCAAAGTTGCATCCATCGCTTCTTTTCTAAGATCAAGAAGTCCGACCACAAGCGCAGCTCATTTTTGCTCCCTCAGCCCCAAAACCTCCAGCATACACGGGCTGAAAGGGGAAAGGTATCGCTCTTTGTCATCTGACTGTGCTGATTTAGTTTCCAGAGACCATCAAAGGTCTAAGCAAAGACCGAGTGACACTAGGATCTTTGACCAGGGAATGCGGGATGTGACAACACCCAGACAGGAGAGGACTCTCTCAGTGGATTCTGACACCCTTCAGTGCCGTTCTTCTGCTCCTCTCTCCCTCCCTCCTGACTTTTCAAGTTGTTATAAGCTTCGCTACAGCTCTCCACCATACTCCACTCTCATTTCTACCAGGCCAACACAGGGAGAAACTAAGACTATGTTATCCAGATCACCCCTCTTCCAACAGTCTCAATCAAATTATACTCCACACCTTTCTAGATGCACTGATTCAGTGGCAGACATGACCGTGCCCACATCCAAACCTCCTCTCTCACCTATCGGCCTGCCTCTCCAAAACCAAACTACCACCCGAGGAAGTACAAAAGGGGGGGTTTCAGATACTGATCAAGTCAATAATAACCACAGCAAGAGCAACAGGCAAGATTTCCAGAATGGCCAGTTAGTACTTGTCCACAACAGATTTCATGAGGCACATAGCCCCTCCTCAAAATATGTAACTGAGACACTAGTCTACACTGTTAAATCTAAAGAAGAGACAGCTACAGCTGCCCATTCGCCACATGACGCAAACACAAAGGCTTCTGTAGAGACCGAGTTAAGTCAACAGTCACACAGAATGCAAAGTAAGGAAGCAGCAAGAGAACCCCTTAGTCATTCAGATCCGAGCCCAAGTGTCAGCCGTTCAAGCTCCATCGGAAAAGTGAAGGAGAACGTACTGGGTAAAAGTAAATTTTTTTCAATGGAGAGCAACAATGAACAAAGCACAAAGCGAAGCCGGTTTGCACTGAAGAAAAGTGACAGTACACCACACTCCAGTTTGTCAAGATCACAGTCGGAGACAACCAGCAAGCCTAGTAACAAAATGGACCAGGTGTTCAGCAGACTAAAACAAAAATTCAGCACTAGACTGTCTGATGAGGATGTGTTTCCATGGAAATGGAAGCGAGCTTCTCAAACAACTTCAGTTGGTGGATCAGGTGATGTCAGTGACAACACCGTGGAGAGCAACCAAAAGCTTGAGGAGCAGGAGAAAGGGATGTTGATCAAAGACGATGAGAAGGGAACAGATTGTACTGATAGATGGAAAACAAACCGATACAGTCTCATACCACCCTCAGTGGCAGGAGAGGAGCTGTACAGTTGGTCAGACCAAACCACTCCAGAAACTGACCGAGACAAACAAACTGCATATCCAGAATACACGGAAAGTCAAAACCATCCTCATTTGACAATAACTAGCCCAACAACAAAGCAGTTAGACTTTTACAAAGACAATGCAACAGATTCTAAACCATCAAACCTGTTCCTCTATTGTAGCAGTCAAAGTCCTGGTAGGAGCCCTAAATCCTCTGCCGACTCTCCCACTCAGCTCAGCAAGTCCACATCCAGCCCCAGGAGCCCCTTCTCCCCATTTCCTTCTCTTTCCCCTGTCTCCCAACTTACCTCAACGGATGACAATGTCTTCTTCAGCCCTAAGCTGCACCGTCACCGAGAATCCCCCTCACTGTGTGAGCCGGGGGAGGGAATCCGCCTGGGGGCTTCGAGAAGAAGCCGGGCATCCACAGGTCCTCCAAGTGCAGGGCCAGGACCGGACAATGAACGCTTGGCGTCCTCCTATGCAGACTTAAAGTACGGCATTGAGCCTGGGAGATCGTTTTCCGTCAGTTCGGTACTGTCCAGTCGTCCCTCGGGTCCAGGACGCATCTCCACTGGATCCAGGTTCATGAGTGTTGGTGACCTCTCTGCATTAACGTGTGGCAAGCCTGGAAAAGATTTGGATCAGTGGTCTATTAATCCTGAATGGACCAGTGACTATGATTGCCAGTCCAGTAAGTGGTGTCGACAGGCTTGTTTCCCCAGCGACCCAGGTAAGATGAGATCCAGATCTCTTCCTCGATCACTGACTAGGCGCCTAGCAAATTGGAGCTCAGAAGCCTTTGCTTCCCAACCTGCAACAAGCACCACCTCTAAGGCTGCTCGCCTATGGAGCCCCAATAAGAACACGTGTCACTTTGCATATGATACAGAGGGGCCTCCGACACCTCCTCCAACCCCGCCCCTATCACCAGTGTCCAGACGCATGTCCAAACCTCCCCGCCTTTCCTCCCCCACCGTCCCCGGTGCATCAGGAGTGTCGCAGCAAGTGGACAACTTGTCCCCTAGAGGAATTTTGCCGTCCAGAGGTTATGTATCCAGCCTTACTACTTTTGACGAGTCCTCAGACAGCAGCTCGGACACGACGACAGACGATGAATATTACTTAGAGACGGGTGAAGAAAAAGAGACTGAATTGTGACACTAAAAGATTTGCTTTAAATCCTCCCTTATTTCAAGTCTGTTTTTCTGAACTTCATTATACACGAGAAAAAGGGCTAACGTGTACATTCTGTAAAGGGTATTCTGCTTGACTCCTGTTTTCTGTTCTCTTGTCAGAGACTTGAGGTCAATGTTTTTTTTGGCTGCATGATTTGCTTTTGGAAAGTGGTGGTTATCAAGAAGGCAGTAAATGAGCATGCATGATATTTTCAGCAAAGTTTGCAAATGTATAATAATTCTTGATAATAATGTATGTGTGTACAGTACACTGCATGTACCTGCAATCTGCATTGTTTAACATGTATAGTTTGGACAGTTGCATGGAATCATTGAGGGATGAACATCTGTGTGTGGTTGTTTTCAAATTTGTTTAAAGTTTTTTTTTCAAAACTGTTTAAAGTTATAATTTTGACATAACTATCTTTAGGTTTGTGTTTCATCCTGCGGCAGTTAAATTGATACATGTGCTATCATGTAATATTTCATTGTCTGTTTTCTTCTATGATTGAAATGAATTGTGGTAAATGTTGTAATAACAGATTTATTTTCTTAATTTCATATTTTTATTCTGAGGGAATATGTAATCAGAATGTATGGTACAATTAGATATTTAATGTCCAACATTGTACAGTAATCTATCCATTTTACACAGTGATATTCTAAAGTCTTAATACATCTATTTTAAACATAAATGTAATATTTCCAGCAATAACTAACCGTTTTTGTATTAAAGTCTGCACTGCTGCTTTAGCCTTAACTGCCACGGTGTCCCATAGGCGTGTTAAATGCCCTGCTGAGTGAAATGGTATGCTGAGTATTGGAGCGGCAAACAGAAGATTTGCCGCCTGAGGCCACGGTCCCGCCTGCTGGGAGGTTTTTCAAAGACCATTAATGGCGACACTTTGCTGCTCTAAAAAGTGTGTTAGGTGTGGCTTAAACCGATTGACGTTATGAAAGTGGGAGTTCCCCTTTTGTTTTTAGCTGTGGCAACACAAACTGTTATGGTGATGGTTAGATAACACATTCATTTGACAGGGAGGGTTGAGTTGTAAAATAATTGCTGCATGTGTATGTTAGCACTGTACTTTTTGTTCTTTTCGATTTTTACCAGAGCGCTTCACACGTAAACACAACCATCTGCGTTGTATTATTAGCCATGACATGAACTGGGAAAGACACTGTTGCTCTGCACCATGTCATCATTTTAGCAAATGTTTTTATTGCATGAATGTTTTTCCATCCTGTCATCATAAATAAAGTGCAACACTTGCTCCACCCAGCAGCTTCAGAGCAATGGCGAAAGACTTGTTAGTGGCACTAAGCTCATAATCGAGACAAGGGACTTATCCTGTGTATTTGTATAGTGATAAAGGCAACAAGCCGCAACATTAGAGGGCTGCTTTGGCCATTTGTTGGGTCTTTGTTAAACAAGCTCGGTGTACATGGCTTGTATAATAAATGTAGGTAAAGTCGTAGTGTTAAATTGGCTCATATTCATTTAAGGCATCCCAAATCAACCCAAAAGATAAGATAAGGTAATTTTTTTTAGGCTCCTTTTATTTGTGCATCTGATTAAATAAAGATGTAAAACTGCAGTCTGCAGGTTTGAATTCACTAAATGAACATGACAGCAGTGTCAGCTTTCACAGCCTATTTTTGCATTGTTGTAGCACCCGTCATGGTGGCACCAGACACCCCGGGGAGGCCATGGTGTTGTGTGTGCGTTGTAAACGTATTATGCAGACCATATCGCTGATGCAGTGAAACAAAAGAGCTATCAAACATAAAAAATAGCTTTGAATGCTGAGTTAAATAAGCCTATGATCAGACATATTGTTATGGAATGATGTAGTTTAGTTACATTTTGATCTAAATCCTTTGAATTGTATTTTAGCCTGTTGGTGCTTGTTTACCACCACACTGGACCGGTATAACATACTTCAAATGAAAAGAAATACAAAATCCATTACCATGAAGAATCTCCCTGTGGTGATTGCTTGCTGTAGCTACTGAAATGATAACTGAATAGTTATGTGACCGAGCATCCTGGCAATCGCTCGATTATAGAGTGAATACTGTGGGCAGCTTTTGGCAGGCCACCTCAGATGAGATGTTACATCAGATCTTCAGTTGGATCAAAATTAATCAAATAGTCGTTTACGAGGCCTTGCTGTTAATAAGTCCCTAAACTCTTTACCACTTGCCGCAAGGAGCAAAGGTTTAAACTCGTCCGCTCTTTGCATGTCGAGACATGAAAAGCAACGTCGCGTTGCTAACTCACAGTGGAGGTCTCTACATTCCTTTTTTTTCTCTCCCAGTGTAGCGATTCAAAAATAAAATACACAAACATAATAAAATTGGTGCATTCAATTACTCTTTATTCCACTCATGTTACATGGAGAATAAAGGAACTAACATACTACGATCAAACTGCTGATTATCCTCGAAGACCTTGTTGAAAGCTTCACTCTTCATCATGTGCTTTCTGTACAAAGAACACAATGTTACATAATCAGATTCATTTCTTAAGTCACTTGCTTTGCATGATTCCACGACAGCTACCCATTAACAGTGGCATTATTTGTGATGATGAGCACTGACCTTAGCACCGATGTCGCGGCTCTTTGCTCGCAGCTTGTTGACCTGAGACTCTGAGATGTCAGCCCTCTCCTCCGCTTCCTCCAGCTCGTGCTGTAACTTGCGCAACTTGCCCAGATTTACATTGGACTGTTCCTCCTAAAACAATAAAAAGAAATCCAGATGAGAATATGAAACACGGGGATTGAGCTGATTCTTAATAAAGGGGCACATTTCAGTAAACGTAGGAGTCGTATTTTCGCTTACAGCCTCCTCTGCGGTTCGCTTGTAGGATTTAACCTTCAGCTGCAGCTTATCCACCAGGTCCTGCAGACGGCTCAGGTTCTTTTTGTCTTCCTCCGTCTGTTGAATCAGTACACCAGCCGCATTGCTTGTCAAAGCTTGACCTTCCATCTTTTGGTGCCTCTTTATCCCAGAGTGGTTGTGTCAGTGCTGCGTACCTGGTAGGTGAGCTCTTTGATGCGCCTCTCGTACTTCCGAATGCCTTTCACCGCGTCGCTGCTTCTCTTTTGCTCCATGTCCACCTCGTTTTCCAATTCTCTCACCTGGGAAAGAGCAGGTATGGAAGTTGGGACTTTTATTGAAATGAATGCTGTTACTACTACGAGGTGTAGGTTAGCAATACTCACCCTGGCCTCCAGCTTCTGGATCTGCTTCTTGCCACCTTTCATGGCTATTTGCTCCGCTTCATCCAGACGGTGCTGCAGGTCTTTGATGGTCTGTTCCATGTTTTTCTTCATACGCTCCAGGTGAGCGCTGGTGTCCTGTTCCTTCTTTAGCTCCTCCGCCATCATGGCAGCATCGGTAATGGCCTTCTTCGCCTTCTCCTCTGCATTTCTGCACTCCTGCACCGCCTCATCCACCTCATTCTGAAGCTGAGCTGTGTCGCTCTCAAGCTTCTTCTTCTGGTTCAGCAGGCTGGTGTTCTGCACAGATTCATAGTTTCACACTGATCACTTTTAGTCAAATGAAAGAAATACCGCAAGATGGAGGATTTCAAATACCTGCGAGTGAAGCAGCTGAACCCTCTCACTGACATCCATCAGCTCCTGCTCGGCCAGTTTGCGCGCTCTCTCGGTCTGCTCCACCAAGGACCTCAGCTCGTCGAGCTCCGCCTGCAGCAGGTTGTTACGTCTCTCCACAATGGCAATGTTCTCCTTCAGATCATCATTGGCACGGAGAGCGTCATCCAGCTGCAACTGCGCGTCCTATTCACAAAGAAGAATTTTTTTCCGCCTTAGCTGAAATCCTCTTTTGTTCGATAATTAAAAGAAGAAAGGAAACCTGTAGAGCCCGTGTGGTACCTTCAGGTGAGCATGGACTCCCTTGAGCTGCTTCTGAGCTTCGGCTGCCTGCCTGTTGGCCAAGCTCAGCTGGATTTCCATCTCGTTGAGGTCTCCCTCCATCTTCTTTTTCACCCTGAGAGCCTCGTTCCGGCTGCGTATCTCCGCCTCCAGAGAGCTCTGCAGAGTGTCCACCACCCTCTGATGGTTGCGCTTGGCCTGCTCAATCTCCTCCTCCTTCTCCGCCAGCTTGCGCTCCATTTCGGCCTTCACCTGGTTGAACTCCAGCTGAGCTCGGAGGATCTTACTCTCCTCGTGCTCGAGGGAGCCCTGTGGGAAGCGGTAAAACGCTGAATGTCCTTCATCAAAATGTCAAAATATCAGGTACATTTTCCCTTAACATTTAGCAGCTGTTTACCTCCGCTTCCTCAAGAGCAGATTGTATTTCCGCCTTCTCCTGTTCCAGCTGTTTTCGGACCTTCTCCAGCTCATGGATGCTCTTTCCACTCTCTCCAAGTTGCTCAGTCATGTCAGAAATTTCCTCTGTTTTGTGCATATTCATTTACATTACTATTAACCCCTCCCAATGCATTCAGTTTATTAACGTATATCATGCTTTTCTTTTTCTTCTTTTCTACCTTGGAGATTCTTGTTTTCTCGTTTCATGGTCTCCAGGTGATCTAGAGATTCCTCATAAGAGTTTTTCATTTTGAAGATCTCAGTGCTGAGGGAACGAGCCTCTTTCTGGGCAACTTCCAGCTCAGTCTGGGACTCCTCATACTTCTGCTTCCACTCAGCCAGGACCTACAATCATTGGTATGTTGACGGATTTTACGGATTACACATTGAGAACTGCAATCTGAACTAAGGTGCACATTTTATGTCTAATTACCTTGTCAAAGTTTCTTTGTTTCTTGTCCAGAGCGGCAGCAGCAGCATTAGATCTCTCCACATCCACCATGAGATCCTCAATCTCAGCCTGAAGCCTGTGCTTGGTTTTCTCCAGGGAGGAACATTTAGCATTGGAAGCTTCAACTGCTTCTTCTGCGTCTTGTAGGCGCTGAGCTAGCTTTTTCCTAATAGCAAAAATGAAAGTATCAAATTAATACCTCCAGATAAAAAAGGGAATATTATGGTCAAACGTTTGAACTGCCTAGAGGTGGATCAACTGGATCCTTACTTTGCTTCTTCCAGTTCCTCTGTTCTCTGGATGGCATCAGTTTCATACTTGGTTCTCCACTGGGCCACCTCAGAGTTTGCCTTGGACATGCTGCGTTGGAGCTCAGCCTTGGCCTCCTGCTCCTCCTCATATTGCTCCCTCAACAAATCACAGTCATGGCGGGAAGACTGCACTGCATGAGCAAGTGCATTCTTGGCCTTTGATAAAGAAACACAGGGTGAGGTCCTTCTGCCGATAGTGGACAAGCGTTGTATTTCTCAAAGAGGGTCCGTACCTTGACTTCTTCCTCTAGTTGTCTCTTGAGGTCCTCAATCTGCTGAGTGAAAGACTGCTTCCCTCTGGTCAGCTGGGAGACCAAGCAGCCCTTCTCCTCCAGCTGCCTGGCAAACTCACCTGTGAAATAAAGATGTGCAAGCACAGAAATGAAGTCTGCACGGGGTGAATCTTTTTCACCTTTTTTCTGAAGGAGATCTAACAATTTTGTCTGCATGGACTCATAGTTTGTTGCTCTAAGGCATGTGTGGGCAACAGCAAAAAGGAATCTGAGTGGATGTTAGAATGATTACCATTTTCAGTTTGAAGCTTTGCTTTTTGCATCGTTAAGTCATTGATGGTGCGCTGGCCTTCCTCCGATTTTGTCTTGTATTCGGTCATTTGATCTTCCAGAGTGCGGCACATCTTCTCCATGTTGGTCTAGGTTGAATCATTCATATTAATATGTAAATCATAGAATGTAAACATCCCCAAAAAATATTTTTCTGTATATTATGCAACATGTAAGCCTTTTTTATTATTCATAGGTAGCTGCCTTCTGTAGTTTTCTGTAGCCTTGCAAACACGGGAAACTTCTAGCCTGGCTCTGCCAAATGATTGTTTCTTCTCATCTAGCAAAATGTGAACAAATGCGTTCAATATCTTACTTTAACTTTGACAATGTGCTCCATGTTAGACACCATGTCATCCAGCTCCATTCGGAACTCGCTCTTTTCTTTCTCCAGCTTCTGTTTGACCCTTTGCAGGTTGTCGATCTGCTCTCCAAGGTCAGCCACGCTGTCTGCGCCTTTCTTTCTAAGTGCGGCGGCAGTGGCTTCATGCTGCAGAGTGGCCTCTTCCAGGTCCCTGCGCATCTTCTGGAATTCCGCCTCCCTTTTCTTGTTCATCTCGATCTGGACCGTAGTGGCCCCTCCGGCCTCCTCCAGCCTCTCGCTGATCTCCTCCAGCTCTCTG